ATTTTCTAGTTCTTGCCTGTCCTTTGTAAAACAAAATCATAAAACATTTCTTTTCGAATTTAAACACTTATCCGAAAATATATCTAATAACGTTAGAAAAACTAACTCCATAAAGATTCAGGCTTAAAGTAAGTACTCCAATTATTAATAAGACGAAACGCGATCGTTGGAACCCAGAAAAGAAAAGTGCGGTAGCCCTTCAATAAGAAGAGAATATTATTACATTTCTTTTTGTATAATTTTGTTACTAATATTTAACTAACTTTATAGCTTTACGATGAATATCTACGGCATGAATTATCTCTCTATACATTATAATCTCGTTCTCCAAACTAACATTTTTCATCGTATTTACTGCTACTGCCTTCTCAATGCGATAACTATAAAGAATGTTATTATTATGATTATCTTTGTGAAGTTTATGAAAGAAATCGATTTACTGACATATATGTGTATATACATATATATATTTTATAACGTCACATATTACATCAATTGTTATAAAAAAAACTTGTAAATATAATCTGCTAAAAATAACTATTGTAAATATTTAACAATCAACTATATAACATTGATTTTTATTTTACTATCGAAAGATCTAGTTGCGACAGCAAAATACATTTTTTGAAGATGGGGGGGGGATTGTTGTGTTTTAGAATAAAATTCATATTTCTTTTAACAAAAGAATTTTTCTACTTTACCAAAAAAAATTTTCCTACAATATGGAATAATTTACTATACAAACAAAGTTAATCGCTCTCATACCCAATGTATAATAGCGATAATTTTGCTACAATAGCCAATTTGCTTTCGTCTATATAAAATTGCTTCAAATAAAAACAAAAAAAATTATGTGTAAAATTACAATTTCTACATTTATTCTTACATATATTTCTTCACCTGGCGATTCTAAACATGCCACAAGCATGTTTAATGTATGCTACGCACATCGTCATGGTTGCTACCAGTATTATCCCTCCTATCATAATCGTTGAGCCCGAATGCAAGATAATTATATACATATAATTTTCTCGGCCGACAAAGTGCTTAGGTATAAGCATCTGTATCAGGCGATTTATTGTTAGATGATATTCATTTATGCGGAGGACAGTATCAAAAATGTACAGCACAAGTGGAAATAAAATAATAGCAATTATGTTGCACACATTAAGCCCTAAAGACATTTAAAAAATAATTATATAAATTTTTGTTTGTTTTTTTGTCCAAAAAATTATATCCTTAAATGGTATAAGTACATTTCAAAATTTATTGCCCTTTTACCACTTTCCTTCCCAATATTAATGCTAAATTAATCCTAATTTTTAAAATACTAATTGTTCTAGTAAAGTATATATAATGAAAGAAAGTATTTTTATTATATTCTAACAGAATGCAAAATTTAATTATAAAATGATGTTATTATACAATGAGAAGCACATATAAATAAATATACATATATACCAAATATGTTTATTTATTAACAATATAATTTTATAATTAAATTTTGCATTCTGTTAGATTAAAATATCTAAATATTTTAATTAAATGCTCATGTGGTTAACCAGGCTAACAATTCAATAATTTAATTTATTTACAACAAATGTGCTAGAGATGTCAATACTTTCTTACACATAATTAGAGTTGTATAACGTCTCGAATAGTCCCCGCACTTCTTCATGATATCGATTTCTTTTTCGTCTTTTAACTCGTTACAGATACGCTGAAGTTGCTCCAATGACCATTTCATCTATAGCGTCAAAAATAGTTTTCGATATTCGACTCATTGTATAAATATTGTAAAGAATTTACAAACTAATTTATCGACATTATTTATCTAGTTAAATACATTAAAAGATCAACTTACAGTGTGTCTGTTAACTCGAAAAGAGTTGTATTCGATCACATACATACAAAAAAATAATACGAAAGAGACAACCTTAAGAATAAGATCAATAGTACAGTCTGCAGAAATAAATACTGCAAGCTATAATTAATAAACCTTTTTGAAAAATAACTTTTAATAATTACAGTAAAGTATAGATATTTAATTTCACTATGTGTATATTAGGTATATATTAATAAAAATAAAATATAAATATTTAAAAAATTTTTGAAAATAAGTGTTACATATATAAAATAGCCATAAGAAAGAATATGATTAGAAATGTGGACCTACTTGATACACAACACTACTAATCAGAATACTAAAGCACAAGATTATCTGAAGCTGAACTAATTTCGAACACTCATAAGGCCATAAGCCAATTAATAGTAAAATAACCCGATTCAAACTGAAGTGCTGAGTCACGATATAGATCATCACTCTGTGAGAAACGTATCGCGTTTGACTGCGAAAAAGTTGGTGAAGAATATTTTCTTTTTATAAAGAGTCAATGACTTTTAAAACTCTTTTATTTCTCTAATATAAATTCTAACATAAAATTGCTTAATGTTGCGAACGTAAAATAATTTAAAAAGAAAATACTACCGTGAGAATCGAAACACACAAATTTCATGTTTTTGCTCGGTGGAAAAAAATAGACGATTAAGCTCAATCGATTTAATGCCGAGAGAAATTTAACAGATGTCCATTTCCCACAGAAAAATACAAGACGACTTTTCGAACTCGCGCAAACGCATGTTTCGCTCTCTTTAACATCGCGGTTGCATATTGCTCATTGTGATATGTGCATTGATAAGATACGTTTGATGGAAGTGCCATGCCATTTGTATTATTGCGCGGCGCCAATATATCCGAACTATAAAATTGCAACCGGTAAAGTACAAAACATACTGAATGTCAATACTTACCTACTATAAATCTCGAAAACAACCTTGGATCATAAATTAAAGCACTTATTTTCTTACATTCTACTTGAGTACGTTTACTTATTATACTCTAAGAAATTGTTTATGCTTTCAATGAATCAATTTTTGCTACTGTCAATAACATATTTTTCTCGCATGCATATTAACGGAGACGCTAATTCAAAATATGTTCAACGGTGACTATAAGATAATTGAAAAAAATATAAAGTTTAGTTTCGCGAGCCATCCTGGTCAGATTACTTTTTTAATAAGGACAATAACAGATTAGAGGGGAAGTTTCAGATGAAACGATTATTTACATACGCCAAAAAAGTTGCACATCCTAGATGCATTTCAGCACTTTCTATTTAGAAGCGCTCATCACGCTCAAATAATAAATAATTGATATATTATATTTTAATTATGAGGATTTTGATTTAATTGAGTTTCACGTTGTCAGTATTCCGCTGTCTTTTGCAATTTAAAATAATAACATTTAAAAATCATAGATGATACACTATGCCGATAGTAAATAAGTCTGACAATATTTACATATTTCAATTCACTATAGTATTTCAATTTCTATAAACTATAAAAACAAAGTTAATGTGCTATTTGTTCACATTTATATAGTTACAGCAACAATTTTTGTCTCTCAATGTTAAAATACTATTATTTCCCATTAAATTTAGTCAACAATTATTTATTAGTCCTCTTAACCACTTACTTTAGTTGCACTAATTATTAAACAGTTCGTGGAATTATAAATATATAGTCCATGTTATTCCTCCAATAAAGTTTGTGCAAAAATTATATATTTGTTCTCTTAACCATTAATTTAGTTGCATAACTATAAAATAGTTCATTTAACTATATAAAATAATTCTATGAATACGACTTGCATAGTTGTCACCTTAAAGTTGCCATAACAAAGATTTTTTTCTCTGAGTGCGAAATTGCAATACGTTTATACAACTGCAGTCGTTGGATCAAAAATGTTCGCTATTGCATCGAACACATAACGGTAAAATAAGATATCGATGCCTTCGTTAACTAGAATGAAATGTACATATCTGTATCATGTGTCTGCTATCATATTTATACATGTACATATATATACCATATATACTCTGCATTTCATATATAGTACCTACACATGCATGTACACACACTTATTCATAACATATACATATATGTAACGTGCTACACGTAACATAGACCATATAATAATCTCTTACCGCTGCAAATAATTCTAAGGACAACACGAACATTATGCCAAAATTAAGACTGACAGTCTTGTTACCCCTTTGCAAGAGAAATAATATTAGCTTCTGTACGTGTAATGGTGTTACATACCACCGAACATTGTATCTACAAAATAAAGATCAGAAAAACAAATTGATAATTGGAGATACAATAATAATCTTTATACAGAGTTATATGAATTAATCTCCTAATCTCAATTATACTAGAGTTCGTCAAAATATTACTGACATATATTTATAAGCATAGATAGTGTCTCTTACGCAGTGGAAAATATGTGGTCATTATGATCCATAAATTCTTGTCCAGCATAGTTAAATAAAAACACATATACAAACATATCAACTACGATTAGAAAGTGAAATACAAGATAATGAATATCGTGCGAAATAGCTTCAGAAACCTAAAATATAACGTCAGAATTAATATTTTGTTTCATAATTAATCATTTTACCAGCAAGATGCA